GACTCAGCCGGGCTCCCCTGTACACTGCCATAAATACGGGATGTGCAGCAGGGGACGGCACTTGGAGCTGCCGAGCCAGCCCCGCCAGCCCAGCCCCGCCATGCCGCTGCTGCCCCTGGCCCTGCTGGCCGCGCTGCTGGCCGCCGGCCGCGCCGGTGAGTCCGCCCCGCGCTCCGCATTAACGCGCGCTCTGCCTTTCTGCTTTTCGTGCTCCTCACTCTCTTGCCATCTCTCTGCTGTGGATGGGTGCCAAGCCCCCGCTGGCCTGTGAGGGATGGTCTCCCCTTCTGAGGGGGGTTATTGCTGGCAGCAGGCAAGAGGCGAATTGCTGCGCTTTTCAAAGCTGCTCCCTGGTAGCCCAGATGTTACCGTGGATGGTTGGTCGCTGTGATGCCTTCTGATCAGCGTTAAACTCCAGAGCATTCTCGTTCCTTGTCTAAAGTCCTGGGGAGGTGGGAGTGTATTGCAGAGGTGCTAACCCGAGCTCTGATTCCCCCGCAGCCAACCCTTGCTGCTCGAACCCCTGCCAGAACAGAGGTGTCTGCATGAGCGCTGGGCCAGATCGCTACGAGTGCGACTGCACCAGGACAGGCTACTACGGGCAGAACTGCACCACACGTGAGTATCCCGCACCCCTCTCTGTGGAAATGAAACGCATGATCCAGTTCCAGCATTGCAGGTTATCCTCCATAAGGTAATTAATAATAACCTTCCCATTGTCGCTTGCAGCGGAATTCTTCACGTGGCTGAGGCTAGCACTGAAACCATCACCAAACACTGTCCACTACATCCTCACCCACTACCAAGCAGCCTGGAATATCATCAACAACATTCCCTTCCTACGGGACACTATTATGAGATATGTACTAACTTGTAAGTGTGAGTTGTCTCTTCCAGTCCTCTTAGAGCTTATTCCAGAATATTGCACTGAATTGATCTGTCTACAAACCAAACAGCCTAAATTGCACTGCAGTTAAAAGAGCAAAATTTAAGATTTCTGCATGATGCAAGCTTGTGTGAAACATGCTGAAGTGCATCTTAATTTTGCTTTCTGCAGGAGTCCAGGATTTTTCTGACATGAACTTGGCACCCCATTGCTCATGTCGATAATGAGATCTAGCTGATCAGCTAGGATCCAGTTCTGTTATTCAGTAACTGTAATAATTTTTAACATCAGTAACTGATATGTGTGGAATGTACAACTGCTGCCAAATATATGCAAAAGATCTGGCTTTGTGATTTACTTTTTGAGACTAAAATGTACAGTTAAAAATAACTAAATACTTATTTGTCTTACAGCAAGATCACACTTGATTGACAGCCCACCAACTTACAATAGTGACTACAGTTACAAAAGCTGGGAAGCTTATTCCAATCTTTCCTACTACACGAGAAGCCTTCCACCAGTAGGACTTGACTGCCCAACACCAATGGGTATTAAAGGTGAGCAATAAACCAGATACGTAATGATTGCTTGGTCTTTTCTAAGAGGAAAAAATAAGTAGTAGTTCCTATGAGATCTGCTTGTCTGTAACCTTTTTTCAGTGTAGTTGACTTTAGGAATAACCATGTTTTGGATATGTTGTTTAAAGATCTTAAAGATATTGTTCTGGTTCTTGCTATTGAGTTACATGCTAAAAGCAGGGGATTTAGAAATTTCTAATAAAATCAAGAAGGTGATCATAGAAAAGTAGGTAATTCCTCTTGTTTGTATGCTGCTGTCATTATATTCCACTGAAAGTCTTAAGCCTTTTTGTTAGGAATAAACTTCAGTATTGCATAAAGGGTTGTCTTGAGTATCTCACTGTCTGTTTCTCTCACAGGCAAGAAAGAGCTCCCAGATTCAAATCTGATTGTGGAGAAGTTTCTGCTGAGGAGAAAGTTTATTCCTGACCCGCAAGGCACAAATGTGATGTTCACATTCTTTGCCCAGCACTTCACCCACCAGTTCTTCAAGACGGACCACAAGCGGGGCCCTGCCTTCACCAGAGCGCTCGGCCACGGGGTATGGTCACAGCTGGGGACACAGCTCGGGACACAGCCCATGTTCTTTGGGAGCTGCTGAGCGGCTGGAATGGCCAGAACGGCATCCTGCGAGTTGCCAGGGCACATGTGTGCACACACTGTGCCACAATCCCATGGGATTACCCCTTCTGTAACTTCAGGCCAAATTCCAGTGTTCGCTAGTGTCTCCTCCTGGGTCAGAACCTGTGCTCTGCACAAGTGGTTCTGTTTAAAATATCTGTCCAGAGATCTCTTACTGTTCCCAAAAATCTGCTTTCACCTAAAGCATGTTAGATGTAGTGCATATCGAAAGCTTCTCTTGTCTTTGTCAGTTCCAAAGAGCTGTATCCAGCATTTAAGTATTGCTTATGTACTGCTAATAGCCTTAGTTTAAAAAGAACGTCAAAAGCAGACTTGGATTTAAGATCTTTACCTACAAGATAGGCATCCTTTGGACAAAGAGTTCTTCACTCTGTTACTCTTATGTCCAAACCAAATCTAGAAATTGTGTGTGTATATATAGAAAGCTGTCTGCATAATAAAAAGTTGCTGACACTATAAACAGAGTCCTCTTAAATTGCCAATGTAACAACCTCCTCTTATACAGACATGGCTCCAGTTGCCAGGAAATAATTTGGCTTCATCTTAAATATCAATCCATGATACTTATAAGGTAGTGATAATATAATTAAAAGGTAAACATCGAGGGGTTGGACTCTTATTGGTATCCAGAGAAGTGGGACTTATCCTAAAATAGCAAAAAATTCAGGTTGGCTTCATGTCCCAAATGCTTTTATTTTACAGGTTGACTTGAACCACATTTATGGAGAGACTCTGGAGAGACAACTTAAACTGAGGCTTCGAAAGGATGGAAAGCTAAAATACCAGGTATGTCTTAGCTCAGAATTCCTACCTTCTTACTGGATGGCATAAATTTCCTAAATTAGTGCTGTGTGAATGCTGTAGGTGATGTAAAGTGTGAGTCAGAGCTGAGAAAGTCGACAGAGCTTAACCAAAGTATCGTAGCTCACAACCTGGTTTTTCCCCATTACACAGATGATCAATGGAGAAATGTACCCGCCGACGGTGCGGGACACACAGGCAGAGATGCTGTACCCGCCCCACGTGCCTGAGCACCTGCAGTTCTCCGTGGGGCAGGAGGTGTTCGGGCTGGTGCCAGGGCTGATGATGTATGCCACGATCTGGCTGCGCGAGCACAACCGCGTCTGCGATGTGCTCAAGCACCAGCACCCCGACTGGGACGACGAGCAGCTTTTCCAGACCACCCGTCTCATACTGATAGGTGAGAGCCCCTGCTGCTATGTGCAGCTCCAGCTCGAGCCTGCATGGCTGGAGTGAGGGGAAAGCTATCCTGTAAATTGGGGTGTGAGTGGCTCCTTCATGGCTTGTCACTGGGATTGGGTTGAGGTGCAGCTTCCCCCCAGCTCTGCTAAAGATGGAAATGAAGAAAACTCAGGGACACTCAATTCCCTTGTCTCAGGGAAGCAGAACTGAAAGCAGTGAAAAGACTGGAAGCTCAGGTTCCTTTCTCAGAGAAAGCCTGTGAAGCTGGATGACCTCAGGCTCCCTGATCTGGGGTTCTGGGGTTTTTTTTCCCCCTAGGGTTGGGTCAGCTCAGGTATGCTTTAAAAGCAAGGCTGTGATTAAGTCTAAAGTTCAGAAGGTTATGTAAAATGTAACTGCATAGTTCTCCTGTCTAATTGTGTGCCCAGTGGTATTTCATCTTATGTAAATGGTGACGTGCTCTAAGCTGGAAAAACCTTGCCACAACTGAAACCATAAATCAAGACAATTGTATTATGTAGTTTAGAAGCTGAGATTTGCTTTCAGACATCAACTCTATCCTAGAAATATCCCTCTATCGTAGATATAATGAAAAATTGAACACAGGGTAAATACTGGTGTGTGCTGTTCTGTGGAGTGTGCAAGGAATTGTGTCTTGGGAGTGGGAAATCAGGCTGTAGAAAACACCTCACTACCCACAGCCCAGAATTCTCGGGATTTGAAGTACTGTTTCACCCTTTAGTCACATAAAATACATTGCTTCCTAGGAGAGATTACAGAAAAGTGTTTGTTGTCCTGATCACTGTAGTATGTTTTATAACAGTTCAGAAAGGGTGTTTTCCCTGCCACTGAGGAGAAGCAGTGCCAACAGTTCTCTCCTGTTCCTTTGTCCAACAGGAGAGACAATCAAGATCGTTATAGAGGACTATGTGCAGCACCTGAGCGGGTACCACTTCAAGCTGAAGTTTGACCCCGAGCTGCTCTTCAACCAGAGGTTCCAATACCAGAACCGCATTGCAGCTGAATTCAACACCCTGTACCACTGGCACCCACTGCTGCCTGACACCTTCCAGATCCATGACCAGGAGTACACCTTCCAGCAGTTCCTGTACAACAACTCCATCATGCTAGAGCATGGACTCTCCCATATGGTCAAATCTTTCTCCAAGCAAAGTGCTGGCAGGGTAGGTCCTTCCTCAAGTTCATTGTGAACTGACAGAGGCATGAGCTGGGGGTGGAACAAAGGAATGGGATAAAGCTATTTAAAACTAATCACTGGAAAGGCACAACTTCCTCATAACTTGTATCAGGAGATCTTACAGCTTTTTGTCTTTCATGAGCAGGTTGCTGGTGGGAAGAATGTTCCTGCTGCAGTACAGAAAGTGGCAAAGGCCTCCATTGACCAAAGCAGACAGATGAGGTACCAGTCCTTGAACGAGTACAGGAAACGCTTCATGCTGAAACCATTCCGATCCTTCGAAGAGCTTACAGGTAACAATCCTCATCCTTCCCAGCAAATGAGAGACATTGTCTTAAAATGCCCACAGAGTCCTGCAGTGTCATTACTGGGCTTCAGTAGGACAGTCCTGCACAGAAAATGGGACTTTTCCACTTACAGTTTTCACTCATTGCAGGAGAAAAAGAGATGGCAGCGGAGCTGGAGGAGCTCTACGGGGACATTGATGCCATGGAGCTGTACCCAGGCCTGCTGGTGGAGAAGCCCCGGCCCGGGGCCATCTTTGGCGAGACCATGGTGGAAATGGGGGCACCATTCTCCCTGAAGGGTCTGATGGGCAATGCCATCTGCTCCCCTGAGTACTGGAAGCCCAGCACCTTCGGGGGCAAGGTGGGCTTTGACATCGTCAACACAGCCTCCCTGCAGAAGCTCATCTGCAACAACGTGAAGGGCTGTCCCTTCACTGCCTTCCACATCCTGCCTCCTGAGCCCACTGAGGCCACGATTAATGTTAGTACCTCAAAAACTGCCATGGAAGATATCAACCCCACGCTTCTGCTGAAAGAGCGCTCTGCCGAGCTGTAGAAATCCAGCTATCTATTTATTTATTTAACGGTGTTATTTATTCTATTTATGACTTAGTATTTAAAAAAACAACTTGAGCATCTTCATTGTGG